AGGTAGTCCACGGATATCGACATCCCCGTCACCGGCTAAAGACCCACGCAAGTAAGAAACGACGAACGGATCTTGCGTTATTTTTGAAAAGTTGTAATCTTTCATTTTTTTCATGGTTTGCGAGGGAACCGCCCCATGACAAAATTTTTAACCGGTGCACATGTGTGGGTAAGATGATTACATGACAAAATTGGGATGCTAATATTACGTGAACTTGTAAAGAAGTCTTTCAAAATTATGTAAGAGATAGAAGCATTATGTAAGCATTTCTTAGCAAAAAGCACATTAATCACCAAAAGATAATGAAGAAGATACTGACCTGACGATTGTCCAGAAGGTATGGAGTGTGAAGGGGGAGTTGTCTGTAAATCATTTTCTTGTGTAGGTGTTTGTTGATTTGCGTCTATATCTGTGTAGGAGATAGATTGCAAATAAAAAAACATTGTTGCAACTGACTAGATTTTTATATGTAAAGGATAAAGATTAGGTGTCATGTTAAAACAGAATCAAAAGAAAAATAAATAGTTACCTCTAACTGGAGTAGACTCCCCAATGCTAGGTATGGCGGTAGCAACATGAGCAGATTCAAGTTCTCTCCTAGGCTCTCTCACCTGACGCTGCCGGTCTTCGCGCTGTGTATCTACAGCAGATTCAAGTTCTCTCCTACGCTCTCTCACCTGACGCTGCAGGTCTCCGCGCTGTAGTAGTCTACGCGATTTGCTCCGTGATGGAACTCCAGACATATTCGTCAAGCCCTATAAAGAATTTTACATTTCATATAAGATATATGTGAAATAGACATATTTATCAAGTTGAATATATAATTTTAAACAACATGCTTTTGATAAAGGTTACCTTTTTCGCTTTACAGAAATGTTAGGTTCTACAGATTCCCTAGAAGTTGTAGGAATATCTACAAGTATTTCACTATTCAAATCATTCCTAACCCATGAAATTTTATCATATTCAGGAGATTTATCTTGACATACAACCCCTCCCTGCTCAAATTCTTCGTCATCGTTGACCTCGACGACCTCTGAATCTATGAACTGTGGGACATCGTAAGTATCCCTGGGCCTCCATCGACATACAACACTCCACCCCGAATGCCTCAAGCACTTCGAGTAGTATACTTGAAATGCTTGTTCTGGAAATATAAATGGATCGTCCTCATAGGAAAAGCGTGTGGTGTTTACACTCGTCAATCCATATTCATCTACCCAAGTCCCGTAATTGTCTCTCCACTTACCAGTTCCAGTCTTCATATCATACCAAACACATTGAAAGACATAAATGCATCCTGCTCGACCTAGATAGTTGATACCAAGTATGTTATCAAGGTACCCATAGTATATCTCGTCATTAGTGCCTACGGTTGCAATTCCACTATTTTGGGTGGTTCGAGATTCTTCTATAGACTTGATTTCAAACTTGTAACCGCCAACACCGAATCCTTTATAGTATTTAACTTCAGCATCTGGAAGTGTAGCCAAATATCCAAGATCCTTATCTAATATCGATTCTACAGTCGGTAATCGGCTCTGGCAAAAAGGTCAATACGGCAATTACATAAAGATGTTAGATTAAATTGAATGAATAAGTCAAAAAATAAGAAAATAGAAATCTTACATAATGTTTAAACCAATTGCAAAAATTGTCCTGATGATGTGTTTCAACTCGTGCCTCATTCCAATTACTATGCATTGCACGTATTTCATCCTTGTGTATTCTAATGTCAAAAAATAGTAGGTAATGTGAGAAGTATATTTGGGTGTAGTAAACATATATAGCATTATGTGAAATAGACATACTCTCTAACTTCTCCAAGGCATTCGATATTGAGAAGGATAAAGCGATGAATCTTGTTGATAAATGCGAGATTCATTCTATTATAATCTGGCTTTTTTGATGGTCCGTCATGAATCACAAGAGGTCTGTTGAGTTTTGTCTCAATGTCTTCATCCAGATAACGGGAACAAAAAGTGGTTACTTCCTCTAGCAGATAACCTTCCATAATAGAACCCTCTGGTCGATTTCTATTGCGAATATAATTTTTCAGAGTGAGAAGGTACCTACAAAAGCTTACACTAAATCACCACATCCAAGATGTAAAATAAAAATATATCAATTACGTTAACTATAAAACTAAAGGTACCTATCGATGGGGTACATCCATTAATATTGTACTGGTCTGGCAAGCCTAGCCTCAATTGCAAGATGAACAGTCAGGTGTATAATGATATCAAAGAATGATGGTGGAAAAATTCGCTCAAGCTTGCAAAAAATTAACGGAATTTTAGCCTCTAGCTTCTTCAACTTATCATCCTCGATGTTTTTAGCACAAAATTCCCAAAAGAATCTGTAAAAATCATTGATCACTAAACCGACTGATTTAGGGAGAGAAGTCCTGAGAGAGAGTGGAAGAAGATACTCCATAATAATATGGTGATCATTGTAGGCGTCAAAAATTATCTATGGCTCCCCGCACGTGGCTCAAGACAAAGAGAAGACGATGAACGTCACTATTCGAGTTACAGAAGCTTGATTGACGTCAATTAACGCTTGAAGTGAATTGATGAACTATGTGAAGCAACGGAGTTTCAGAATAACGAGGATACGAACTGATCAGGAGCCCCACGTCGCCTACAAAAGGCAAAGTGCCCCTCATGTCCTAGTTTACTCCATAATGACCCAACCTTCGGAGCTTGTAGATCTCCTCGTCAGCTTTCCAACGCACTATGAATCACTCAAATCCGAGTTCGGATGAAGAAGTTACGGTGGAAACTGACAAGCGCGCAAAACGAGTTGTCTCAGCCTAACCTAAGACACCCCGAGGTGTCTCGGCCTAACCGAGACACCCCGAGGTGTCTAAAACGGACTGTCTCAGCCTAAGCTAAGACACCCCGAGGTGTCTCGGCCCAACCGAGACACCCCAAGGTGTCTCGGTTTGGTCGAGACACCCAAGGGTGTCTCGGCGGCCGAGACACCCAAGGGTGTATCGGCGCTGAGACGCCCGAGAGTGTCCTGAGGCCTTAAAAAGTGGTTTTTTTCGTTGTTATGCGGTTTTAACCGCCTGGATTCCTCGAAGCCTATAAATACAGCCCCAGGACCCTTATTTTTCGGATCTAGAATTCTCAAGCGTTTACGAAGCCCTGCTGGATTGAGGACTGAAGAGCCACGAATTTCAGAGAGGAGGAGGAGACTTCAGCGGATTCTTCGTCATAAAGAAGAGGAGTTCGTCAGATCTGCAGCTTGGTTCGTCCCTTAAGATTATCCCATTGCCGTGATCTTAAGAAGAGCAATTATCTCGCTGTTACCGATATAAGCGCTTCGGCTTCTTGATTCCTTCGCGAATCGACGAAGATCCGGATCTGATCTGATCGTTTGGTGGTCCACGGATATCAACATCCCCGTCACAGGCCAAGATCCCATGCAAGCAGAAGACCGATAAACGATCTCTACGCTGTTAGACGAGAGTTGTATTTTTCTTATTTTCATTGTGTAAGAAAGTCTTATAAAAAGACTAATTTTACTTTGAATCTGTAATCGATAAACGTATAATAGATTCAGCAATGAAGATATCAACTTTCATCCTAAACAAGCTCGCGACCACAGTGGGAGCCAACGGCTTCACTGCCGAAGCTGTCGTGCTGTAGCTGACGATCAAGATTCCGATGTTGGAAGAGGTCGAATACGAATTCGACCAGTAGAAATTCGAGGAATATATCACTTCCTCCTCCTCCAAATCTTCTTCTTACAAACGTAGGAAAACCACTGCCGCGAAGAACGTGACTTCAGATCCAAAGACCAGGGCTGATGATCTGAACCCGAATGTAGTGGAAAACCCCTCTCCGGCCTCCAAAGAAACCAGATCCAACGTTCGTGACAACTCTTCAAAAGTCAAGGAGTTGCCCGTTGAAAGTGCACCAATGTTGACGAAGAGGGCACGTCAAAGGCGCCGTCAACATCTCGCGTGTTAATTAGCTAAGGCTTTGGAGCCTGTTGACGGGATCTGCTATGAAGCGGATCTGAAACTCAGAAGGCGAAAAGTGTTCCAGCAACAAGCTTTGGGAACCTCCTCCCAATCACCTACTAACGAATGAGTTCGTGTTAAATGAACCCGTTCAACTCTTAAGGAGCGTATCCATAAGCGCAGCGCACTGCTAGCACAGACGAGGATCCTTGTACGGAAGGCACAGGAGTTGCAGAAGGAAAATGTGGCAAAAAAGCCACCAAAATCTAAGTAAGTTTGGATGCCAAAGGCCAAATCAGCGCCCAAGGCAAAAGAATCCGAGGCTGTTCTCTAGCCTTCGTCAACGCCAAATCTCGTTCCTGTTGCTCCCGCACCTCCGGTGAAGCCTTATGACAGCGTGGATCTCTCCAAACCTAGAATCCCTCTGAAAGATCGCCTCGATTCTCTACCCGAAGATCAAGGCAAAGGGCCTGTTAAGGAATGCTTGGGACCATTGAAGGAACCCCGAGCAAATATCCAGACTAGGGGTCGTACGCGACCTCTTAACAAGTTGATTTCTACAATAGCCCGCTTGGGGATGTGTGTAGAAAACCAGGAGCCCGTTAAGGTTTCACCCTCACAAATGCATGATTCCAAATGTGTGACTCCTGCAGACACCAACAAGGCGATGTTTACTCAGAGGAAAACGCGTCAGACAAAAGAATGCGTTATACTTGAGAATTCATGTAAACAGCTGATAGGTTTCTCTGTCCGTAACGTCGATAAGTTGTACTATCGGGCTGGGGGTACGAATAAATCTCAAAAGAGAAGTACCCGAGAAGCGGACTCTCACTGTCCGTGTACCAAAATTATCAGGGCAGTATTATCAGTGTGTAGCTACCCCAAGACCGCTCCACAGAGGGTCTCGGTATTTGAAAGGATCTCCACTAGAACACCCAGGACCAAGCTAAGGTATTTCTATAGAAAAAGACCAGCTGTGCAAGATGACGAACTTCCAGAAGTCACAGTCAATATGGTTGATAAGGGGAAGTCAATGTGAAGCTTCAGTCCTCGTTATTTTTCGGACATATCCCAACGTATAACTCGGTTACGGTCAGGAATCATTAGACAAAGGGACTATCAGAGGATGAATCAAGGATTATCCTGGATGATGAAGCATCAGATGCTAACTCTGCAGTCGCTTCTAACAAAACGGTATCCAGCCTAGGTCAATCCCACGAAGTGTTTATGATTAACACCGAGGAAATGGTCAAAATGGTTGAGGATGCCTTGGCCAAACAAAAAGAGAACTTTAAGTTCGAAATGGAAATGGCCATGATGCGAATGAGGGAAGAGCATGATCAACAAATTCAGGTCTTGTCCAATCAATTCGGTGAATCCAGCCGTCGCAACCTTGATAACCAAGCAGATAACGATTCAGAGGTGGATGAACATCTCAATGCTGAGAACCCTCCCTTTGACCAGAACACTAGGGGTGGTCCCACCAAAGACAACAATACTGGGGATGGTCCCAATGAAGATGATAATAATGGGAGTGGCCCCGTTATTCCTCTCAGGAATCATCCAAGATTTGATACAGACGAGGACGAGAAAATAAAGGATCTCGAGAGCAAAATCAACACGCTGATGTCTGCTCAGGGGATAAAAAAGACAGTTATTTTGTCTCCCTACCCAAGAAAGTGGGATTCGATTCTGTATCCGGTAAAGTTCAACTTGATCAACTTCACGCCGTTCGACGGGAAGGGCTTGCCCACTCAGCATCTGATCTACTTCAAGTCCTACTTAGGTATGATCTCCAGTAATGTAGCCTTGATGGTTCAGTCATTCGTTGCCACCCTTCGCAGGCCTGCCTTTGATTGGTACCGGCGTCTCAAACCCGGAAGTATCAATAGCTGGGAGGACCTAGAGAGCATGTTCCTCGCTCATTTCTTCAATGATGACGCTGAAGTATCAATCAGGACACTCTTTGATGAGAAACAGAAAGACGGAGAGTCGGTAGATACCTTCATCAAACGCTTCCGCAATCAGGTAATAAACTGCAAGGACCCCGTCACAGAGGAATTTGTCTTGCAGACCTGTCATAACAACTTGTCCATTAACATCTTGGACGTTATGGCAGTAGAGCCACTCAATACCTAGAAAGAGTTAAAGGTGCGCGGAGAGCAGGCCGAACGCTTCCTCAGAAGGAGGAAGGTTGAAAGAAGCCAACCGATGGCTAACCCTCTGAATCCGAGTCTCATTTGATGAAGGGAAGGCACTTACAACAGTTGTTGACGTTAATCAGACATCACAACAGCAACCCCGAAGACAGCAGAAGACTTCGGATCCGAAGCTCCAAAAAGAGTACTCATTCAAGGACGAAGACATTCCAGCCATCTTCGAGACCCTTCTCGAAAACAACAAGATCAAGCTGCCACCCATCATGAATCAGGAGGAAGCTGACAATACTGTGGATCCGAAGTACTGCGCGTACCACAGGAGGATCCTTCATCCCACCAAGGCTTACTTTACCTTAAAGAATAGCATCCAAACCTTGATTGAAACCGGCATCATAATGCTAGGATAAGCCAAACGAGAACGGCAAGACTCTGACAAGTATAAGAGTATAAACTGCTTCTCAATCCTCCGATCAGTATAAGAGGTTAAACTGCTTCCTGATACTCCAATAGGTATATGAGTCTAAACTGTTTCCTACCGTTGACAGGAAGTTCCTGGAGAATTTTTATATGTAATATTCTTAAGGATAACCCGATCATGCAACCGAATGCAATGGTAAACTCAGTTTCACGAAGAAGCTGGGGGTGGATGATTCATGTAACGGGAAGTTCTTGGAAGAATACTATATGTAATTTTCGTAGTGATAACCTGATCATTACAAACAAAGTGATAAACACTAAACCCCCACTGTGATTTCCGAAGACACTTTTGCTGAGACGAGATTCTATCATTTTGTTGGATCAATCTTCCCTCACAAAATTCCCATTAGTGTTTGACAACTCACAGTCTTACACCACAAAATCCCCCACCAATCAGACTAATTGATGGTGGGACCACCAAAAGTCCTTTCGGTTGAATCCACTCAAATTCTCGTTACGTCTGTGCACTCAACACTCCCATTGTTAGAGTCTGGACATAATACTTAGTATTTTAATATCCTGATCATTAACAATTGTTAAACCCCATTGTGTTAAGTATTTATCACTTAACACCAGGAACCCCCTCTGAGTAACTTGTACAAGTCAACACTCCCATTGTGATTTGTACTCCTACTTCCCCTTGGTCAAACCTTCCTACAGTTAGGGCCACAACCAAAATCCCCTCTCGATTCCTCCAATGAACGAGAGGTCCACTTTCAAATTGAGTGATCAAACCTTCCTACAGTTAGGGTCACCTCAAACTCACCCTTGGTCAAACCTTCCTACAGTTAGGGTCAAAACCACAATTCACTCTCGATAAACGAGGGAT